TCTCTGATGATGAGTGAGGCTGAGCACTTTTTCATGTGTCTGTTGGCTGCCTGTATATCTCCTTTTGAGAAGTGTTTATTCATGTCTCTGGAGCCTAAAAGAGTACTAAAGAGCATGGATTTTTTTTTTCCATTTTCAAATAATTTCAAAATTATAGAAAAGATGTATGACTAGTGTGGTAAGGAACTGAATGTACTTCTTCCAGAGACCAGATTTGAGCTTTGCCAATTGTTCTTATAATGTGCTCATAGCAAAAAGGTTCAGGAGCACACATTATACCCAGTTATCATGTCACCCTATTCTCCTTTATTCCGAAGAATTCCTCAATCTCTACTTGACATTCATGCCTTGACATCTTTGAAGGTCAGATATTCTGCAGAAGTTCTCTAAATTTTTGTTGATGGATGTTTCCTTTAGACTATAATCAGGTTATTAATTTCAGAGAAGTGATGTTGTGTTCCTCTCATTGCATTCTACCAGGTGGCACATGCTATTGGTTTGTCCCATTACTGGTAGTGTTAACTTTGATCACTTAATTCAGATGGTGTCTGTTAGGTTTTTCTACCATGAAGTTAACTTTTATTTTCCTGTGTAATCAAAATATTTTGTAGAAAGATACTTTGAGACTTTTCACTTTCATGCACTAATTTTAGCATTCATTGATATATTGCCTGAATTCACTTTGTATTTATTAGATGACACACGAAAGAGCTTTCTATTCTTCTTACTTATCCATTTACCTATTATATCACTGTGTAGGCAGTAGATTTTAATCAGTTACTCTCATTACTTACTTTGATGCTCAAGCTGTTATAGATTTGGTCAGTGAAAGCTCCCTCAAGGTAGTTCCTGAGTCCTTTGGTCATGTTCCCATCATTCTTCTGAGAACTTTCTTCCCTTCTGGCACACCAACGTGCTCAAAGCTCAGCTAGTCTTTCCATGCTCTAGCTTTAGAATTGCCAATGAGCTCTGGTTTCTTTCAGCGGAAAGGTGTATCTGCAAACCAAGTCTTGGATATTGAGTCTGCTCACTGCTACTTAGTTCTTGTTGCTCCTAGGTCCTCCTAATGGATACACACATACAAACACTTAAGTCTATATTTATTTACATGTCACAAATATTTATGTAACCATTCTTCCAATTTTCACCTAATACCACAGGGTCTTCTGAATTTCCCCCCTTGCCATGTTTGTATCTTCTACCATAATAAGAAACTACTCCTTCTGTGTAGCCAATTCTCTGATTCTGCAGGCCTCTGACCTACTCAGAAGCCCACTATCCATAGGCCCTGACTCCCACCAGACTGCCTCTGGTGCCAATTTCTAGGTTAGAGCTAGGGAAGAGTAGGGTCTTGGCTATGGAACCAACTTTCAATAGAGTAATGACTGGAACAATTCATAGGAAGCCAAGCTGAAAAGTACTTTTATTAAGCATGCAGGCCATTGGTGTTGGGCATAGAGAAGGACTTAAGCCTAAAACCAGAGAAGGGAGTAATAAGAGAGAAACTGCTGATAAGTACTACTGAATAGAGAATTTATTCATTCAAAAAACACTTATGAAGGACTCAGTATATCCCAGAGACTTTGCTTGCTTTGAGGATACATAAATGAATATATGTGTTATTTTCTCAAAAGAAATGTGTATTCTAGTAGAAGAGACTCAAGCCAACAGTTACATTACAAGGTGTCTCAAAAGTCTTGGAACAGTTTTCAGATGTGTGAATTTTGATAGCTGTTGCTAAATTACTTTTCATAAGATTTATACCAATTTATAGCATTGGAAAGTCATTTCTAAATATTGCTTTAAAACTCCTTTCACTATTGTGAACAATGCTGCAAGAACCTGGAAACAACCATGCTGCCCGTCAAAAGAGGACTGGATTAAAAAAATGTGGTACATATACACGATGGAATAC